GGCCTGATGCCTGAAACATTCCATTCACGTCTCCCCTGGTTCTAGTGCACTGCTCACCCTGCAACCCAGTGCTTTGGATTTGGACCCTGACAGAGGTCTGCCTGCCAGGAAAGAATGCACTGATTATGCGGATCTTGAGTTTCCTCATGAATTAGTAAACCGTCTTTCTGGTTTAGGCTGTGAGGCTGGATAATGCAAATCTGTCCCCAAGAAATGGGTCTTGGGAATGGGGTCACTGGATCAGAGTCTGTGCAAGTGAGGCTGAAGACTGTGCCCCGAACCTTGACAAAATCTTTAAGGTCTTTGCTGTGAGGTCTTTTATGGGACAGCCTGCAGGTTTCTCCCACGGGCGGTGATTCCCAGCACTGAGCAAGGTTTTAAACTTCCAAGGCACCGAGCACCATCTGTTCCATGGTGAGAAAGAGAGCCCAGCACCCTTTTCCTCATCAGGACACGTCCTCGTTGACTCTCATGTTGGTGAGGAAAGAAATTGATGCTCTTTTCCCACCTGAGCTCTATTACACTACACGAATAAATGCAGTGCATCCCCTGCAAATAATTGATTGAAATGTGATCCCTTTCCCTCTCAGCCAGCCGGTCTCCCTCCTAGACGGTATCCAGTGGGGCCATGTCTTCATGCATTATGCATCTCTATGATTATGCATTCATTTCTTGAGAACTAGCAAGTGATACCTAAAATTTTCAAGCATGTTTGGTTATGCTAAATAATTGATTGCATCTTTTATTTATAAAAATTTACTTGCTGGAAGTTCAGACGGAGGTTCTGCCAACCCATCTTCCCTATTGGATTTCAGCTTCCCGGCATGAAGTCCAAAAGCTCACCTACAGATTTCAGTCTTGAAAGCTTTTAGGCAAGTAACCAGATGAAGTCCTGCATTCCAGACAAGTGAGACTGGCCTTACGTCAACAGACACCTGTGCTGACCTCCTCCCACGGTCATGGGGATAAAACTTGCCAAAGCCGTAAGCACCTGGAGAGACCTGTTTCCAAGTTTGTAGCCTCAATGACTTTTCTGTCCTAACCAATGAGCAGCTAGGGTATCTCCGGACCTAGATAAATGTAATCACATGATGAGAAAAGTTATAAGCCCACATAGCTTGTATGAGTAGGAGAATAATGTGATCAAAGAGAAATACGGGTAACCAGGAAAAAGAGAATTGCACAAAGGCAACTTTTCTGTCCCTTTGAAACTGTATTCCCGAGAAATGGGGAATGGACAAAATAACTGTAGTTAGCATGTTCAACAAATATGATTAACAAGGTAATCAAAATATTATTTTCCCCCTCTCCCCTTGCCCTTTTAAATTTTATTGATAGGGGAAGTTTGATATGAAAGCTCAGCAGGCTTATGCTTACTTTTCAACTCATACTTTAAAATTTTTTTCATATTTATTTTTGAAACAGAGAAAGAGAGAGCGTGAGCAGGGGATGGGCAGAGAGAGAGGGAGACACAGAATCCAAAGCAGGCTCCAGCCTCTGAGCTGTCAGCAGAGATCCCGACAAGAGGCTTGAACCCATGAGCCCTGAGATCATGACCTAGCCAAAGTCAGATGCTTCACCGACTGAGCCACCCAAGTGCCCCAACTTTTCAATTCATTCTTAAAATAGAAAGAATCCCATTCTAGGGCTTGTGTCAATGACACAGGACTTGTGTCATTCTAAGTTGAACTCTGTCTCAAGCCAGAAATCAGAACTTCCAGCCCAAGATGAGGATGAAGCCTTTGAACCTGATTTAATGTCAACTCCCCTCCCCTTCTCCATCTCTAGCCCGCATCAGGCCGGGGAGGGGGGGGGCTGGCTTGGGAAGGGCTGGTAGGTAGCTGGTGGCCTCTCTATGGTCTCTGCCTTATGCTTTTCTCCTGCCTGCAGTTCTCACTTCGCTAGCTAGTTTCTGAACCTCCAGGATTGGGTGGCAGGTAGGGAGTTTGGGACAAGGGAATTAGCAAGGTGGGTTTCCCACTCTCCAAGCCTGACCAATGCTTGATATGGACCCTTTCCCTAGTTGGGTGTTGTGGTGGGTTCTTCAGAAACTCCAATATTGGCCATCCCTCTCCTACAGTTCTCGGGGCATGGGAAGATGTATCTTTATTCTAGGAGGTCCCCTGGATTTCTTTCTAAGACTCTAGCAGTCTGATCCCCACTTCCAGCTTCTTGCTGCTGGAGTCTCTCTGCCCCTCCAGAGGTGGCCCTATGAGACAGCACCCAAGCTGGCCATATGCCAGCTCTCTTCTGAGTGACCACAGTTGGTCCACAGGACATACTTTACCCAACAAACCCTGCAAAACCTGACCAGTCCCTTGTGGCCCACCACCCCACTGTCACGCTCAGTGTCAAAAGCATAAAGCTGGGACCCATCATGTGTGCTGTTTCCTGACTGTATTTCAAGATACTCCAGGTGGTCCATGTAAGCCTGCTTCATGGGCTTGAGATAGAGATGCAGCCCTAGCCCTCCTTTCCTTGGGGTGTTAAGGGGACACTCACAGCTCATTAACAGCTCTTTCCAAAAAAAGCTCTTTGCCTCTGTCTCCCCACCACACCATCCCCTGACCCATTTTCATATCCTTGATCTGGGTGAAGCATCCAAGAGGGAAGGAGCCAGGTCTTGAAATGGTGCTTTGTGAATTCTGGATAAGGGGGCTTGTTCCACGTTCATGCAGGTATCTGATATCTATCATATTGGTGCCTTGGCCAAAACAGAAGCAGAAAGAATCCCATTCTAGTATCTTATTCCATAAACAATAGAGAAAAAAGATAAAAGTGTGCATTTCAGTTGTTGAGTGCTGCGTAGCACCCTGAAGCTGAGTGGTTTAAAACAACACTGATATGTCATTTCTCATGCTTCTTGGGTTGGCTGGGTCAATCGTCTGCTGGTTTCACCAGGGCTTGCTTCTCGAACTGCACTGAGCCGAGGGCCAGCCATCACTCCCATGGCTGGCATTTAGTGCTGACTGGTGGCTGGGTGCCTCGGGCCTTGTTCTCGTGGCTTCTCATTATCTGGTAGGCTAAACAAGCTTCCTTTCATGGTGATCTGGGCAACATTTCAAGAGACCAGAGCAGAAGCTATAAGGCCTCTGGAGGCCTCAGCTCTGGAAATCACACAGAATCACTATCTTACATTTTGTTGGCCAAAGCAAAACCACAAAACCAGCCTAGACTCCATAGGTGGGAAGAAAAGACTCTGCCATTGGCATTTACAGTCTTTGGCTCTCCCCAGTTCACTACAGGGCTTTCTGTCTCTGCCAGCTAAAGCAGTTGTGGAGTGGAGGGTTAGGGAAGGGATTAAAATGAGTCTCTGTTGGCTTGATGGGCTTATATTTGGAAGGATGGAAAGGAAGGGAAAAGATCCAGAAGGTAAGAGCCAGGGGAAGAAGATAGAGCCAACCAAGGGGGGCTTTGAGGAAGCATTCCAGGGGAATGGACCACAGGCTGGGAACTAGGAGCCCTTGGTGTAGAGAACAGTCCAGGTTGGTTTTTCCATTCATGAGGGTAGGAGCAGTCAATATCTCTGTGTGAATGGGGGGTGGGCTGAGACCTTCTGGAACTTCATGGGAAAATAGACGTTACCATAGACTGGATTCCTCGTCTCCCACCTGCCCCCAGACGCATTTCCCACCCCCATCCTTCCTCTCCTCTGATGTACTCATAGGGAAGGTGAGTCCCAGGAGAGGTGTGGGATACTGGCAAACAGCCCCGTCCTCAGGTGGTGCGGGGCTTCAGGAAGAGGTGAATGGGAGAAGCTGGTGGACCCAGGCGATTGATTGTCCCGTTGCTGTGCTGTGGGCTGCAGATTCAGTGCTCAGGGTTTTCATTTTTTACAACCATTTCTAAAGCCTTGAAATGTCAGTGTGCTTATGTGTGCTTATCTAGAGTCTAAATTGAAAGGGCCTGTGTTTTCTGTCAGATGCCCCAGGAGGAAGGGAGCAGAGGCTGATGACATTGAAAGGCCAGGTCACTTTGCTGAGAAATGAAGTGCTCGGGGCTGGTTTTTGGCTGCAGAGGTGAGCAGGCCCACACAGCACATAGCTGAAGCTCATAAGCACCCTTGAGGGAAAGCATGGAACCTTTACTTGCCTTATATTTTAAATGAACACACAAAATCCATAGAGTATATTTTTCACTTAAAGAGAATGGATATATGCCTGCCTTTAAGGGGCTATTCCTTACTCTAAAAGACAAGCATTTTTTAAATTCCGGCTTTTCATGATCAAAAAGGCTAAGTGCAAGCCTTGACCCCCACCATCTGACTCTCTCCTAAATTATTCTGTAATCCTCCTCTCCTCTTTAAAACCTTTGCCCATCTGAATCTTAAACACATTTCTTTGAGCAAACACATGGCGATATACACTTTGGAGCAGAGCGGGGTGAGTTGGGGGCATGCCTGAAGCGCTTTGCCCTTTGCTGCCCTCTCCCACAGTCCCCACAGCGGGGCACCCCAGCAAAGAGCAGCGGGCCGGCTCTCGGAGCCAGTGACCACAGCCTCACTGCCAAGAGGCTGCCGGTAGGGGGTGCTGTGTCTACACTTGGAGCCGCGAGTATGCCGACACCACCAGGCTCCTTGAGTTGTTAGACGTTAAAAGCTGGAGGGGATGTTAGAAACCATGTCCACGATGGGATTCCTTTGCCCATGAAGAACTTCTGGTCCAAAGAGATGAGTCAGTGGTAAAACCTGGGCCAAAACACAGGCCTCTTGACCTCTGCGCTGGGATTCCTACCCTCCTGTTTTCCTCCTCCCAGATATCTTACCAGTGTTGAAGGGAACACAGCTTGCGCATGGAATTATTAGAAAAGAACAGGAGATGGTAAGGTGTTGCTGCTGTTTGCCTGGGCAAGCACAGTTTGGGGCTTTTTGCATTTGGCCTCATAGGAATAGTCAACTCTTAACTAGTAGGGATGAGATTAAACTGTGTTGTTGTTTTTTTAAAAAAAAAAGCACACGTGTGGCAAAAGTTATAATTTATTATAAACAATCAAGACATTTACCTATGTTATGAGAGGCGAGATGTTAGAGAGTGTCAGTCCTGTCTGTTATTGCCAGCCGTGTGGTCTTGGCCAGGCTTTTAAGCATCATCTTGCCTCATCTGTCAAATGGGATAATAGTGTTGGTGAAAATTAGAAGAGATCAGGTATTAGGTCACGGCACATTCTAAGCGTTCACTAAGTGTTAATAATAATAGTAATAATAGTAATGATAACTCTTCGGCACCCGAACTTTGGGACTACAATGTAGTTGTCTCTACCACAAAGGAGAAATGCCCCTTCCCCTCACCAGTTAGATATGTAGCTCTTCAGAGTAGCTTCCCTACCAACTTCCAGTCTCTCCTCTCCAGAGACCCAAAGTTGTGGCCCAGAGTTAGCCAGGTTGGGAGAGTGGGGAGTGGAGATGGAGAGGCGGGGGAGGCCTCCCCCCACCCCGCATCAGTGCTTGGCTGCATAATCTAACCTTGTGGTAAGAAAGAACTCAGTGAGAGAGGAAGCATGCTGAGATGCCTCCTTCCCTCCCTTGCGATCCTTCTTATAGGAAAAAAAAAATGACAAGGGAATGACAGTAACACAATTTTTTTTAAATAGAAATCTTTTGGCCATTTTTAAAATTAATTAATTAATTGATTGATTTTTAGATTTACATCCAAGTTAGTTAGCATGTAGTGCATCAATGATTTCAAGAGTCGATGCCTTAATGCCCCTGATCCATTTGGCCCATCCCCCACCCCCTATAGCGCCTCCAGCAACCCTCTGTATGTTCTCTATATTTAATAGTCTCTTATGTTTTGTCCCCTCCCTGTTTTCATATTATTTTTCCTTCCCTTCCCTTATGTTCATCTGTTCTGCATCTTAAAGTCCTCACATGAGTGAAGTCATATATTTGTCTTTCTCTAATTTTGCTTAGCATGATACCTTCCAGTTCCATCCACATAGTTGCAAGTGGCAAGACTTCATTCTTTCTGATTGCTGAGTAATCCTCTGTTGTATATATTACCACATCTTCTTGATTCATTCATCCGTTGATGGACATTTGGGCTCTTTCCATACTTTGGCTATTGTTGATAGGGCTGATATAAATACTGGGGTGCATGTGCCCCTTCAAAACAGCACACCTGTATCCTGTGGATAAATACCTACTAGTGCAATTGCTGAGTTGTAGGGTAGTTCTATTTTTAATTTTTTGAGGACCCTCCATACTGTTTTCCAGAGTGGCTGCACCAGTTTGCATTCCCACCAGCAGTGCAAAAAGAGATTCTCTTTCTCCGCATCCTCACCAACATCTGTTGTTGCCCGAGTTGTTAATGTTAGCCGTTCTGACAGGTGTGAGGTGGTATCTCATTGTGGTTTTGATTTGTATTTCCCTGATGACGAGTGATGTTGAGTATTTTTTCATGTGTCAGTCTTTTGGCCATTTTTAAAAAATCAGATAATTTGTGCAATGTTTAACATTTCTTCTACAGTTCTTAATTATTGGTGCCGTTTTACAATTTTGTAGGATGCCCACAAAAGGCAGATATATTTCTAGATGGTGGGTATCTTTTGAACCAACTAAACTGGCTTGTCCATTCTGTAGCATATTTCAAACACTTATATTTCGTTTTAATTTACTCTTATCTTCTCTATGACCTGTTTTTTTTCCCTGCCATCCTACCCCTGTGTGCCATAGAGATCACCTTTGTTTGGTTTTTCCTTCCCTTTTCAGAATCTGACCCAGTAGTTGCAGGATGCTTTGTGATCACAATATGTAAATGATACCCTACCAGAAAGGCACCGTATAAATCAGGGATGCCTAGAAAGGCAAGCAGGAAAACAGTTTCCCTGATTTTTTTTTTTTTCTAGGAGCACATGATACTACATGGAACAATTGCTGGGTATATCTGACAAATCGGGAACCAAGTCATTAGGGAGCTGGGAAATTAGCATCAGGCTGGCTGCAGGAAAATGTATGAGGGGATTACGCTGTGCAGGCACTGGTAATTAAAGCACCAAGAACCCCGGGCTGAATTAACGATCTTCTGCCTGAATGGGACCTGCATAGACTGAGAAAAACTTTCTTGAGTCAAAGTGACTTAGGAGGGAAATTGTAATGAATAGAATAGATGGAAAAAAAATCAACATGCCAAATCTCTAGGGAATGAAACCAAATCCACAAGGGCAATACTGTTTCTACTGCATTCATGGTCAAAAACATCTGAGCGTGTCGTTCACACAAGAGGTAATGGAAAACAAATCCGCAGAAAGGAATTCGGCCTTCCTAGTATTATAAGAACTTAAAGCACAAAGTCACTCAATGCCAGTTAAACTGGTAAAAGCAAATTATGATTACAAAATCAAAGTCTGGCAAGGCTTTTGGGAAAGCTGTATTCTCATAGTAACATAAATTAGTACAATATTTCTGGAAAGCAACATGGCAAAGTGTAATGAGCCATGAAATATCACATCCTTGGGCCTGGTAAACATATGCTTAAGACCGTGTTCTGAATAAATAACTCAGAAGAAGAAAAATCATGGAGCAGCGAAGAGAAAAAAGAAGAAAAATGGAAAAAATACCTAAAAATGATAAAATAAAAGCATACTATGGTATAAAATGAAATATAGCATTACTATTAAAAATGTCGTATTTGTGTATGATGAAAGGAATAGAAATGTTGATGTAAAATAATGCTAAATGAAAAATAGTTAAGTCTCAATTTTGTGATTATTTTTTAATATAACTTATTGTCAGATTGGCTAACATACTAATTTTGTGAATATTGACTATAGGTGTGTTAAAAAAAAAAAAAAGCCCAAGCTACCATAAAACTAGAAGGAGATTATTCGCTTTTGTTACATGGCAGGGTGAGAATTGAATTTGATTTTCTGTTGCTGTGATGTTTGTGTTTATCTTTCTGAAAACACAATTTTTCTGAATTCCTAAAAACACAATTTATCTTTTCTGAAAACACCCAGCTGCCTGGGTGGCTCAGTTGGTTAAGTGTCCGACTTCAGCTCAAGTCATCATCTCAAGGTTTGTGAGTTTGAGCCCCGCGTGGGTGTCTGTGCTGACAGCTAGCTCAGAGCCTGGAGCCTGCTTCCAATTCTGTATCTCCCTCTCTCTCTGCCCCTCCCCTGCTCACGCTGTCTCTCTCTCTCAAGAATAAATAAGCATTAAAAAAATAAAATAAAATAAATAAAAACACAATTTTAAAGGCTGCCCTCTATATAATTTCTATTTAATATAAATATAAGATTTAATATATAATTTAGCAAGGACAGAAGCACAGTAAATTCTTATCCCTCCATCATGTGGTTTCTGATAGCTGCCCAGATCTTAAACATGAACCAGAATAGCACAGAAACTGCATCTCCTCGCTGTGCAGACCCCTGCTGAGGGGGTATGTGATTACCAAGAGCCTGGAGTGACTGTAGGAGAAAATCATGTCAAATTAGCTATCTGGTTGGCTCATCTGATGCCAGAGACTTATCTACTTGGTCTTGGTGCTTGGATCATTTCAGCATTTCTGGAAGAGAGGGAGGCCAGTCTGGGAGAGAGGAAGAGGCAAAGTGTTGGCTCCTTTTTCCGCTTGTAAGAATCTCCCTCCTCAATAAAGTCAGTACATTCCAGCATCAAAGGCATCCTTTCCTTTGCACCTGATCCTTCTTGCCCCACAAGCTGGGCATCCTCTGATGGTTACTTTTGCTATCTTATCTACCTTGAAGAGCAACAATAATCCTCATAAAATAGAGTCACACATTTCTTCTAAGTAGCTAGATGTTCTTAAGGGTTTAGACTCAGACTTCATTTTATTGACTAGTGGCTATTTTTCTTCTTGTCCTTGTTCCTGTGTAAGCAGGGCACTGAATCTTGTCGGCCCCACCTTATTAGCTTCTTTGCAGCAGCGAGCATCCCTGAGTCTCTGTACTTTGACAGGGAATTCTGCTTACACCAGGCAGTTCTCAGAGTTAGAGGTGGTGGGCCTGGGTCAACACCAGGAAGATGAAATATGTGCCTGAGGCCCAGAATGAAGAGATTCACATCTCCTCCCTCACTTGTGCACAAAATCCTTCGTTAGTGTCTGCTTTTCCAGCAGAGGGGAGAAGGGGCAGTGACCTAGACGAGTGTTTACCTGAGGAGTTGTCACAGAATTCTCAGGCTGGTGTTCCCAAATTATTTTTTCCCTCTCTCTGCTCCTTCCTATATTTGTCTTCCTTTTTTCCCCCTCTACAAATTAGAGGCCTTCAAGATAAGGTGACATTTATTGAGCGTGTGCTATGCATCAGGCACAATTCCTTCCATACATTAACCTATTTAATCTTTACAACCCAACCACCCTATGGGGTAGATGGGCACAGTTATTATCGTCATTGTACAGTTGAGGAAACAGGCACAGAAAGCCCAAGTTACTTGTCCGAGTTCACGAAGTGGAGGAACCAAGCTTTAAACCCAGGCATTTGGCCCGAAGTGAAGGTTCTTGGGCACTGAGCCTTGTACTGCATCAGGAGAGTGAGCCAGGCCCATCTGGCCCATGCTCTGGGAGGAGATCGCCGAAGCCAAGTAAGGAGTCAGTGAAGGTGTGTGTGTGTGTGTGTGTGTGTGTGTGTGTGTGTGTGTGTAGCCTGACCCGTCATTCTGTCATTTACTCTGTGGTTACACTAAGTTGCCTAATCTTCTGTTCTCAGAGTTCTCATTTGTAAAACTGCAGGAATATGAATAGTACTTAACTCCTCAGAGGGTGGTTGTGATGAGTATTAATAAAATCCTTAGGACAGGGGCAGGTGCATGCAGAGTTACTACGCTTAACATTGGCCATTGTCATCATGACCATCATCCTTCATGCCAATGCCTGGGAACCACCGCCCCGCCTCCTTCTCCTAGACTAGTGGTGATGAAAGTGGCATTTCTAACAAGCCCCAGGTGCTGTCACTGCTTCTTATCTGAGAACCACACCCAGAACGAGGAAGAGGATCTCTTTCCCAGTGGCTGGAGTTCTGTTTCTCTTCCAGAGCTCTGTCCCTGAAGTATTTGCACTTCCTGACTGTGCCTAGAGTGGGGGGACCCAGGGACTGTGGCTCGGCTGGCAGGGCCTGCAGTAATCAGTGAAAGATGTCAACTCAGAACCTCAGAAACCCAGTTTCAGCAGGATCTGACTGTGACATCTCAACCAGAAGGGGACTCGAGCCAGTGGGGTGACTGGGCCGTAACTGTGGCACACATAGGAAGCACAGAGATGCCTGGACGGGTGACTCCATGTCTGACAGCAGCAGGTCACTCTGGAAGTAATAGGAGAGGGGAGAAAAGAATCTTCCTCCCGAGCAGAAAATGTCCTTCAAGCGAAGATGGAGATGAGAAAGGTGAGTGAGGAGAGGAAGAGGAGGCGCCCTAATTTACAGCACTCACTGTTGGAAATGTGGGGTTCGTAAGAAGAAAAAGCTGGAGGCACCTTGATCTGAACCAGAGAGATGACAGCTCGCCTTTTCCAAAGTCAAAGGTGTACAAGAGAGGAAGGCGGGAACTGCAGTCATTTTGCTACCAAGGGAGGAAAGGGATCGCGGAATAAGTTGGCAGGTTCAGGGCGAGGGGGGGAGTGTCTCATGTTTGTGGGGCTGTGAGGTCTGAATTCGCCCCCAGTCACTCTGTCTTAGCAGGTAGAGTGGGACAGGGGTCTCCGTCCAGGGCTCCGAACCCTGGAATCCACCTTTGGGGAACTGCGCTGCCTCCTTGCACCTGGAGAGGCTCTGTGTGGGAAGTGGATGAGCTTTGAGAATAAACGTTAAGCTTCTAGGCTACAAGACCAGAGCTGGGGTGTGACTCCAAGTCCAGGACCACGTGGCCCCCAGTTGCATCTGTGCTTTAGTTGCTGCAGCCTTGCCGGCAGCTGCCGTGGGCTCTCATAGGCCCATGTCCCATCCCGGCCTGCACGCAGGCTGAGAGGCTTTGCGAAAGTTACCTCTGGATTAGGAGGAGGGAGCTGGCGCTTTCCCCAAGTGACCTGCTCGCGGCCCCTGAACGGTTCCTCACAGCGGTCCTAGATGGGCTGGACCCGTGCCAGGCCTTGGCCCAGGAGCCGTGTCCTGCACCTTGTCCTGACGGAGCCAAAGGAATCGTTGCTGCCAACTCCAGCCAGCTGGCTAGCAGAAGTCGCCTAGGAGAACTCTGCTGTGTCCTCTACATCCTGTCCCTAGATTTTGCTCTCAAGAATGGCAGGCTTGGTGGGCCTTCTGCATATCAGTCGCAGAGCTGAAAATGAAAATGAAATGAAAGGGTTGAAAAGCACCGAAACATCCCGGGGGAGGGAGCATCCCAGACTGGTAGTCGATGGGTCTGGGGGCCTCCTCGCACCCCAGGCAAGAAGGTTAGACTTGCTTTGAGGACCTTCCCAAGAAGCAGCAGTATTTCTCAAGAGAGTAATAAGCTCTTGGCACACAATAAGACAGTGGTGCATTTAAAATTCTTTCTCTTAAACACACTCCTTCCATCCTTCTACGTCCGCCAATTCCAAGAATGTTTACTATTCCACTGGCGAACTTTTCTTTACTCAGACCTGCCGGATGTGTACAGCTGTGTGCTGGTGCCCTTGAAGGTGGGGTGAAACCCAGAGCTGACCGCTGCTTTCAGGGAACTTACGGTGGAGCTTATGAGACGAGGTTATAGATACAAGAAAAGATACGCGACTAGGACTCTCTGTAATCCTAACCTGGTGTTCAGCAGCCACCTGCCCAGCCTCTAACTTGCCCCAGCCTCCGTGCTCCCCAAAGCGACCCTCTTGGTTGTCTTCACCCCCTGAGGTGCAGCGTCTCTCTTCCAGGAGACCCTACCCCACCCTTCCAGCCTCAAACGAATCCCTCTGCCTTCTGAACAGCGAGCTCCTCATCTTCACAGACTTGGCCACTTATCACTTCTTTGGGACGGGTACCTCTCAGTGGACTGGAACCTTTAATTTCAGTGTGACGGTCAGCTTTTGGAAGCTCAGAGCTGCTGATGAGGTGGACTGGTGAGGTCTGGACCAAAGGACTGTGGCTCCCTTGGCCCTTCTCCAAGTACTTCTGTCCCGCTCTCCCCCTCAACCCCCCCACCCCCTCCGCCTGGGAAAGTCCCATTCATTCTCAAAAACCCAGGTCAGAAGCCACATCCTCTCTGCAGCCTCCCAACTCCTCCACAGACTGATGGAGTCGCTACTGCCGGTAGCTCTTCCTTTTCTCTTGGTTTGCCATCTTCGTCCTGGGGCCCTGTGGGTCTCAGCTTGAGAGATGGAATCCCCCTCAGTATGTCTTCCTGGGACCGGAGCTCCTAGCGCTGGTGGGCAAGCCAGGTCCCCTTTGGCGTCCTCACATTCGTGTTGCACGAGGGAATGATAACTGGCTTTATTTTTATTTGCAAGACTGTTTCTCGGAGATGCGTGTCTCGGCTTGAGATGGGACCTTTGCAAGCGACCTTTTTGGACAATGGGAGTGGAAATTGTCTTCACCCTGGAAGCTGGCGCTTCCGTTCTACTCAGTAGAGAAGAGCCTTAAACATAGAAGCATGCAGTGTAAACGGGAACAATACACAGTGGTTGTCACCCTTGCCTGTGCTTTGTAATCCCCTGGAGAGCTTTAAAAATATCACGGCTGGGCCCCACCCCCGGTCCTGAGTTAACTGGTCTGGACGGTAGCCTGGGCTCCAGAGGCCTTTGAAAGCTCCCTAGGTGATTGTGATGTGCCACCCAGGCTGAGAACAACTGCTCAGCAAGGCTGCCCGATGACTATTCGCAGTAAGAGGAGACTTTTAATTAGTATCTCTGGGGGACGTGCAATGCCAGGGAAGAATTCTGAGAACTAAAATAAGTTAATTAAAGGGAATAAAAGGACAGGTAGGCAAAACGAGACCTGCACAAGTACATTCAGGATGAGGATTCCTTTTTTTTTTTTCTTTTAATCTCTGTGCCCAATGTGGGGCTCGAACTCATGACCCAGAGATCAAGAGTCCCATGCTATACTGACTGAGCCAGCCAGGTGCCCCTTGGATGAGGATTCTTAAATGGCCTGTCCTACTGCTGGTGGAAGCCAGGGAAAAGATGCAGAGGAGACAAAGGAAATAGGTAGCTTTGCTCATTGAAAAGCTCAAGGCCAAAGAGGGGAGGTCCAAGGAAAGCTGGACCTTCCCAGACACAGGGAAACACCAGTTGGTACGGGATTTACCTGTGAAACCAGAACCGTTTTGATTGGCTGTCCATGGGGATATCCAGGGGACAGACAGGAAAAACCATTACTTCTCAAAAGAACCAAAAGGGAACCAAAGCCTGCAGTGGCCCCTATTCCTGGGAGATGAAAGTAAAACTGATCACAGAGGCTGTAACCCTTGATTTAGGGGAGACGACAACCCATGGGTGGAGCCTGTGCACTCAAAGAGGGTAAGGACAAGGGCCTCAGAGCATTTGAAATATATTCACCTCTTGCCAGTGGGCCAGGACACACAGCTCCAAGGGTGCCATCCTCACCGTGCTCTATGTGGATGGCATCCCGTCAGAGAATATTCCAGAGGTGATGCAGGTTGTATCTTCAGCAGTTGGGCAGCACTTGGTCTTGTCCGCTGCATGTTGCACGCAAATCCCCCCGTCTCACAGCAGAGCTTGGGGTTTCATTTGAATCCAAGAATCAGGAATTCAGAATCGGGTGGGTGTGTCTGATGGGGAAATCTCTCCTCCTTAGATGTGAACACAAGAACCTAAGATGTGAGATGGCATGACCGTAACACATCCCTGTGTTATCCTGTGATGACTGCAAAGAAAAACAGACCCCACTCCATTAGAGATGGCATAGCCTCCACTCTGTCGGATGAGCCTAGCAGCAATGATGGGTGCCCTTCCGAGCTTTACAAATACAGGGACACCTAGGTGGCTGTTGGGTTGGTTAAGTGTCTGACTTTGGCTCAAGTCATGATCCCACAGTTCATGGGTTCAAGCCCCATATTGGGCACTGTGCTACAGCTCAGAGCCTGGAGCCTGCTTCCAATTCTGTGTCTCTCTGCCCCTGCCCCTGCTTACGTCTGTCTCTCAAAAGTAAATGTGTTTTAAAAAATTTAAAACTTTACAAATGCGGAGAGAAAAGAAAAGCTGCCCCTTTTTCCTGGCCAATCAAGATTGACTTGTGGCAGCTCCTGGGGAAAGAAACAGGATGACGAGGGTTATGTCCATGACAGGGATGTGCTGAAAAGCATAGGCTTGTCCAGCCTCGTTTGTTTCAAACTGCAGAGTGTAACCTACTAGTGGGTGTGGAGCACTTCAGTTCAGATTGTGACTGACATTAAAAAATAATAAAATAGGGGCGCCTGGGTAGCTTAGTTGGTTGGGCGTCCAGCTTTCACTTGGGTCATGATCTCGCGGTTCGTGGGGTACATGATCAGGGCATGTAATGCGCTTTACTGTCTATTAAAAAACAAACAAACAAAGGGTGCTTGGGTGGCCGAGTCCGTTAAGCATCTGGCTTCGGCTCAGGTCATGATCTCACGGTTCGTGAGCTCGAGCCCCGCGTCGGGCTGTGTGCTGACAGTTCAGAGCCTGGAGCCTGCTTCAGATTCTGTGTCTCCCTCTCTCTCTCTCTGCCCCTCCCCGGCTCACATTCTGTCTCTGTCTCTCTGTCTCTCTCTCTCAAAAATAAACAAACATTAAAAAATTAAAAACAAAACAAAACAAAACAAACAAAAACCCCCAAACAGGTATCTCCTTAACAAGCAGAGCAGTAACTTGTCTTTTTGGTCTTGGGGTCCAGGTAACTTGTTTGCTCAGTTGGGAAAATCTTATTAGCCTTGTGATAAAAATCCAAGTTGGTGTTTTTGGTTTTTTGTGTGTTTGTTTTTAGTTTATTGTCAAGTTGGTTTCCATATAACACCCAGTGCTCATCCCAACAAGTGCCCTCCTCCATGCCCATCACCCCCCTTCCCCTCTCCCTCACCCCTATCATCAAGTTGGTTTGTTTTGTTTTGTTTTGTTTGTAACCAACATGTTAGTAGCAGAAATTTGTTGCTTGTGTGTCTGTTGAAGAGCCTCTGGGAAGGAGGATGTCTCCACTCAACTGATGCAGGGCCTCTGGGGCCTCAGCTCAGAGACCATCCAGGTGGCTTTTCTCTACTTCTTTTCTGTGACTGTCCAAGTCACTTGACTTGCTATAGGTTTGGGCCAAAGGCAAATGCCTCTTTCCAGGGCTTGATTTCATGAGGTATTGTGTCTTAGAATTTTCATGGCGGGGCACCTGGGTGACTTGGCTAGTTAAGCGTTCAATTCTTGGTTTCAGCTCAGGCCATGATCTCACAGTTCATGGGTTTGAGTCCTGCGTCGGACTCTGTGCTGACAGCAGAGCCTGATTGGAATTCTCTGTCTCTGTCTCTTTCTCTCAAAATAAATAAACATTTAAAAAGCATTTCATGGATGCATTCAAGCTGTCACAGTAACAAACATGGGAAAAAATGTGCCTATGCCACCCAAAGCTGTCATTTTGTTTGTTTGTAGGGACAAAAAGCTGCCTGGTGGTTCAGTTGGTTAAGCAGTTAAGCATCTTGATCTCAGCTCAGGCCTCGATCTCAGGGTCATGAGCTCAAGCCCTGCACTGGGCTCCAAGCTGGGTGTGAAGCCTACTCAAAAAAAAAAAGAAGCTGTTGAGGTAGAGTGAGTGAGTGAGTGGTTGATAGTGAAATGAAAGTAAAACTCGGATTTTACCTTTAGCAAGTTTATGTTGGCTACCAGGAGTAAGTGTTCTTGGGGTCTAAATGGAATTCACATTCAGGATTTTATTCTAAACATCAAAAGCCTTTGACCCTTGAGCCCCTTCAGCTTGGAGGAAAGCCTACCATCATGTACACTGCACACAAAATGGAGAGATCTATTTATTCATAAAGCTCAGGGAAGTTATTTTTTTTTCAAGCAATAAAATATTCCAAGATCTTGACATAGATTACAGGAAGACGTTGGCCTCTTTATTGTGGAGCTATTCTCACTTGGTTTCCCTTTTTTGTTGTATTACGTCTGCAAAAAAGTACTCTGGATTCTTCCTGATTATTATCCTAAATACTAATGCAGAGTCTGAAATGTAAAAGACTTGACTGCTGTTTTCTTTGTATGGGAGAGTAGCTACCTTTACTGTACTCATTAGAAACAAATGCCACGTATGGTTTCTCTCAGAGGCAAGAAGCTCAGGACAGGCTCTGGGGCCAGAAAGTGTGGGTCACCTTCCTGCTCTCACGGGTAGTCTCAACCTCAGCCACAGCAACAGAATGAGAAGGATATCGATCCTCTGCCTACTGTGTGTCAGGCAGTTGACATTCCTCACTTTTAATCCCAGAAACAATCCTCTCACATTTATTTTGTTCTCTCCGTTTTACAGATGGAGAGATAGACTCAGAAAGGATCAGAGAAGAGCTAAACATACCCGCATGTATATCTTTTTACATTATTTTTTTATCTGAATTTGTCTTTCCCACTTATTTTAGGTCCTACGTATCTGTAGGCAGGGAGGAGAAGTATGTGTATATTTAACTTTAATCACTTTAGTATCATAAAGCCAGCAAAAAGCAGGGTTTAACCCATGCTTTCTCATGCTGGTTCTCTGCATTCTGACTCTGAAGTTTGGTCAGTGTAATCATGTGTGATGTAAAAAAAGAAAGACAAGATTTAGCATTTGTGTATTCACTCTCAGTGGCATTTGTTTCCCCCAAACTTTTAATATGAACATTGTCAAACACAGAAGATTATAAGGAATACTACAGTGAATACCTGCATTTCTACTACTAATTTGACAGTTATAAACATTTTACCATATTTGTTTTACTCTGTCATTTTTTTCAGTCACTTAAAAGTAAGTTGCAGATGTTATGGCCCCTTATCCCTAAATAATCCCACATGCATCCCTTAAAAATAAGGATATGATCATAACTTAATAGTAACCCATTATCTAGTTTATACTCAGATTTCTCCAGTTGTTCTTAAAATACCTTTTATAACTTTGCGAACCAGGATTCAGTCAAGCTTGTTGCATCACATTTGATTTGTGCTCACTGTCTTTAGAACAGACCCTCACTTTTGACCTTCACTTTTTGCAGAGACTGGGATGGTTTTTGGTAAAATGTTTCACATTTTAGGTTGTCTGATTGTTTCTTTTTTTTTCCTCCTGTTTCTTGTAAACTGGGAAGTAGCTCTAAGAGCATACTTAAAGTTCAGGGTATCTGGCAAGAATGCCTCAAGGGTGTCGCTGTGTGATTCATATTTATCAGATCAAAGGCACCTGCTATTTCTGCAGAGATCAGAAACCTAAGAACTAATCAGGATGAATTTAAAAATGCTATAGCTGAGATGTAAAATAAACTAGACACAGTGACAGTAAGGATTGATGAAGCAGAGGAGAGAATAGGTGAAGTAGAAGGTAATATTATGGAAAATAATGAAGCTGACAGAAAGAGGGAAAGGAAATTACTAGATCACAAGGGGAGAATTAAAGAACTAAGTGATTCCATGAAATGAAACAATGTCCATATCATAGGAGTTCCAGAAGAAGAAGAGTGCCAAAAATGGGCAGAAGGTTTATTTGAACAAATTTTAGCTGAGAACTTCCTAACCTGGGGAAGGAAACAGACATCCAAGTCCAGGAGGCACAGAGAACTCCCTTCAAAATCAACCAAAACGGGCCAACACCAGGACATATCATAGTGAAACTGGCAAAATACAAAGATAAAGAGAGGATTCTGAAAGCAGCTAGGGACAAATAGGCCTTATCCTACAAGGGAGACACTCAGGGTAGTAGCAGACTCCTCCACTGAAACTGGGCAGGCCAGAAGGGAAGTGGCAGGAAATATTCAATGTGCTGAATAGGAAAAATATGCAGCCAAGAATCCTTTATCTAGCATGGCTGTCATTCAGAATAGAAGGAGAGAGAAAGGCTTTCCCAGACAAACAAAAACTAAAAGAGTTCATGACCACTAAACCAGCCCTGCAGGGTATCCTAAAAGGGACCTTGTGAGTGGGAATGCTGCAAAGACTACAAAGGATCAAAGACATCCCCACAAGCATGAAACCTACAGATAACACAATGGCACTAAATTCATATCTTTCAATAATCACTCTGAATGTAAATGAACTAAATGCCCCAATCAAAAGACAGCGTTTCAGAATGGATTAAAAAAAAGCAAAAAAAAAAAAAAAAAACCCAAAAAACAAAAAACAAAAAAACAAGATCCATCTATATGTTGTCTACAAGAGACTCATTTTAGACCTGAGGACACCTACAGATTGAAAGTGAAGGGATGGAGAACCATCTATCATGGTAATGGATGCCAAAAGAAAGCTAAAGTAGCCATACTTATATCAGACAAACTAGATTTTAAAACAAAGACAATGACAAGAGATGAAGAAGGGCATTATATCGTAATTAAGGGTTCTATCCATCAAGAAGAGCTAACAATTATAAATATTTATGCCCTCAGCTTGAAGCACCCAAAGACATAAATCAGTTAATCACCAACATAAGCAAATTCATTGATAATAATACTATTATTATAGAAGACTTTAATACTTACAGCAATGGGCAGATTATCTAAGCAGAAACTCAACAAGGAAACAAAGGCTCTGAATGACACACTGGACCAGATGGACTTAACAGATATATTCAGGACATTTCATCCTAAAGCAGCAAAATACACATTCTTCTTGAGCACACATGGAACATTTTCTAGAA